AGATCACGAGAACTATGGGGCACACTAGGCACGGGCCGTTCCTTTCATGTATATAATAAGATGGTCTCCCCTCGCCTTCTGGCTTGGAGGAACCAAGGACCTTTGACATCCTACAAGATTATCATTGAATTGAGCCCTTTTGCTTCAAGCCCTCTATTGAGCCCTTGTCACAGGGACAGTTTCGGATTCAGAGACCTCCCTAACAAGTATCCAGAAGGCTGACCGGAGGATGCAGGTGGATCGGTGTGTAGTTGCTTTACGGGGTGCTCGGGTGGGTGGGTGGTTAGGCATACCTTGCAGAGGTCAATATTGCACGATTCACAGAAGTGCCGAGTGGCTAGGGTGTCTTTGCAGTAGTTGCACTGATACTGGGTTGGGCATGTCGGCGGACAGCAAGATTCGCTTCGAATGGACACAACTTGTGACGGGCACGCAGCCGCACTGGGAGCCTCATCCTCTCCTTGCCCAAACTTATGCCCTGACGGGAAAAGGTCAGGGTTGAGAAGGCAGCCGGAGCATATTGCCCTCATAGAGTCCCAGATCCCGCAAGTACGTCGATTCGTAGCATCGAAGTATTGCCGGCAACGAGAGCATTTGGTACGGTTGTTCCTATCGTCTTGGTCCCCGTCTTGTTTTTGTTCCGTCCTTTCTCTGTGTCAAACGATCGTCTGTCTCCTGCCAGTCCATGACCTGCCCTCCCACGACCGATGCGACTGATCTACGAGCGATGGCCCTGATGAACATGAGTTGGCTGAAGCGTGGCTCGGACGGGTGCTCTCGACGCTCGCCCTGACCCGGGGCGTCTCGATTGACCGATCGGCGATAGGCCCTCGGGAATCGGGTTGGAGTTAACGGATGATGGCTGCTCGTGTGCTTGGTTCCTCGTATACTCTTCAAGGGTCAGTGACGCTTGGCTTGCGACCGAAGGCGGACTTGACTGCCTCGCGGAAGCAGAGCGTCTCGTCACGTTAGTGTCTAGCGTCCGCACGCGCTGCTTTCTGCTGTAGTTGGGCGCCGATGCATAGCCTCGATTTCTCCTTGTCAGGAGCTCCTTGCCAAGTGTGTCCTGCGTCTAGTGATGGAACATGCTATCATGCTAAGAAGTGTTAAGGTTATCCTCGCCAAGTGTGATCTGCGTGCAGTGTGGATGTATTTGCTCGCAGTCTAACGGGCGCTAGAAGTGCCGGTACACGGAACATTGAACGCGAAGAAGATACATTAGCGTGGCGGTGCGGCACTAGACGAAGTATATATAAATTATATAAAATTACATATAAATTATATAAAATTATATATAAATTATATAAAATTATATATAAATTATATAAAATTACATATAAATTATATAAAATTACATATAAATTATATAAAATCACATATAAATTATATAAAATTATATATAAATTATATAAAATTATATATAAATTATATAAAATTATATATAAATTATATAAAATTATATATAAATTATATAAAATTATATATAAATTATATAAAATCACATATAAATTATATAAAATTATATATAAATTATATAAAATTATATATAAATTATATAAAATTATATATAAATTATATAAAATTATATATAAATTATATAAAATTATATATAAATTATATAAAATTATATATAAATTATATAAAATTATATATAAATTATATAAAATTATATATAAATTATATAAAATTATATATAAATTATATAAAACTAGTATACAAGAGAGTATTTTATAGTTTATATATAAATTATTTAAAATCATATATAAACTATAAAATACTCTCTTATATACTAAAATATCCACTAGTATACGCAAATATCTTCGAGCACTAATCTTATCTGCACGATTCCTAAGTCTAAGAAAAACTACGCAGTCTGTCAACCCAATGCAAAAACTAGACTTGCACAAATCCGTTCGCTACTCTTATTAGCAAGCCACAATCGTCGTGTTCCAATGTGTTTCTGCCAAATTAGCCTTGGAACCTCTCAATCATCGTCACATCTCATTTCATCCCGCTATCGACACCTTGTTACCTGATGAGAAGGACACGCAACTTGTGATCACCTCTCACCTTGATAACAAACAACCAAAATACGATGCAGCCATACCAACAAATAATCATTGCTTTGAATTTTTTCTTCCTTCTTTCGTTCGGTTTCAAAGATCTCTTGGGCAGTTTTCTATGCACAATGAGCTCATGAGAAACAAGCGCAAGCAGCAAATAAATAATATCAAACAAAGCATACATAACGATACTCAACATGAACCATACTTCCGACCAACGATGGCCGGTATTCGACTGAAAAATATCTGCAACTTGACGTCTGATACTCCGTTGCCTTGTTCATCCCATTGAAATTGGATGTTGCACTGGATCCTGGGTTACTATACTTCAGTAATAGAGCCCCCATTCTTATATGCAAGCGCAACATTAAGACTTTGGCTGCGTGCAAGACCCGAGTCGAGGCTCTGTTCCAGCTAACATGGATTGCGAAATCACAGATCCCGGCCTACCCATACATTCGAGCAGAGAGACCATGAGGGCTTGTACAAGATACGGGAAACAAATTACGAACTTAAATATGAACAAACTTTCTTCAATCTCTCAGCCATATAAGACTTGTAATATCCGGAGATTCCCAAGGGATGAACCAATCAGGCTGTATGTTGGCAGGCCACTAGGACAGTCAATCTGGGCGGATGGTCGTTACGTTTGGTGATAGGTCGCAGACGGTAACCAAATGATCAGAGTCAAAGAGTCAAAGCTGTGCACTTGGGTCAATGTAATGATGGTTTTAAAGACTAAGGAGCTAGAGGCTATCTATGCAGCGAATTTGGGGTTTCTTTATACTATTGTTGGATCATGTCCTTCGCCCGGGACAGTGGGATCTTAGTGATTGTGACAAGGGCTCAGTGAGGGCTGGGAGTCAATAGCTCAATTCATCTAATAACAGTCTTTGTTATCATAGGTCCTTGGTTTTCTTAAGGCCTAGATAGACTAAAGAGCTCTATAAATGCAAGAAGTCGGAGAGAGCTTTTGTCCTGTGTCCCGTGATCGTAGCCCTCGTGTAACCGTGTGACGGTGATCCTGGATCGATAACGATCCATCCTCGTTGGATCGCCACAATCTAACCCTGGCACCGCTGTGCTCTGATAGTGACGGGGGATCCTGCATGTCATATACTAGGTCCGATGCCAACGTGAGCCCTTGCCATAGGTGTAAGCAAAGCTGCTGCTGCTAATCAATTTGAGCTATTTGCGTTTGGGTTGCTGCTGCTGGGCTCGTTGAAGCTATTGAACATTTCATTCTCAGCCCACCGATTTCCTCTCCCATACATTTACATAGAGCGACTATGAGGGCTTGTACACAATATGGGAAACAAGTAATAGAGGTAAATATAAATAAAAGCCCTACTCAAAGCACACAGCACTCATTCCTATAAATACCTCACTCGCCTTTCACTCTTCCGCGCTTTGGTTGATCGACGTTCCAGCTTGCGATTTACCGAATACCAAGACAAGACAGGTATTTCCATTCCCACCCTTTGGAGCCAGCCTGAAGCTAACGGGAGATGTGTTAGAAGGATTACGTGGTTCTTGCAGTCCATCTCTTTGGTCACAGAGTCTATGGACACAGGCCTTTGAAGACAGCAGGCCAGTCATATCAACGATGTGTCTTCAATGCAAACCCCTAAAATCTTCAAACAAACCCTTTGTGGGGGGCCGGGCCCCCAGCGCGTATTGTTGCGTGCATCGTCAGACGGTTTTCGTACGACGACGCAAAACGTCTATGCACCGACTACATTCGCAAAAAATCTGTCATCTGGAGAGAGAATGACATTGCCATGGAAGTTTTGGACGAGGCAAAGAGAGTGGTCTCGGACTCGCGGAATAAGGACAGAGCGAAGCTATGGAGTGAATGGCACAACATTTGGTCCGACATTGCTCATCGGCGAAGACGCACTGGATCATGCAGTTTCCGGCTTTCCTTTTCCTGGGGATACGCGCTGGGAGAACTAAGGAGGATGGGATTGAGGGAGCAGAAATAGCACAGGCAGCGCGTCAAGGAGATTCGCAGGAGTGCCTTGCAGAGCTTGGATGACGAGTACATTGCCCTGTTGGAATCTCGGCGTTTGGGAGTAAAGGGCCCTTGTCAGCAATCGGAAAAGCGCTGCATCGACATGAAGCGCTGCCTCCAGCATCTCGGGCAGATGGAGACCCAATTGTGGGATATAACGATGAAATCAGCTCACTAGTGACGTCCGAGGAGTCGAGGACTCAACGGCGTCTGACACATGGTCACACGAGGGCTGCAACCACGAGGGCTACGATCACGGGACCCAGGGCACAAGGATAAAGACATCCCTTTGATGTGATAAGGTGCCGCTGCTGTAGCTGCCCCGCTTTTCTGGATTACTAAGGAAATACCTCTGGTGTAATAGATAGCCGTGTTAAAGGTGAAAAGATGATAGGTGTAAAGTACCTTTTATAACTGAAGTCCTTTTATTTTATTTTCATATAATTTCTTAATAAGTCAAGTACCTTTTTATATAAGGTTTTTAATCGGTTAAAACCCCAGTCTGATACAAGAGTGGCGCCTTATCACATTCAAAGGGATGGGGCCTAGCTTTTTGGTCATGTCTGGTAGGCCTTGAGCCAAGCATCCAACTAGATCAGTACCTAGCTAGGTATCGCGCTCTGTACTATAATATGCTGTGCTGGGGTTATATTTTAGTGTATACTTCCTGATGTCAGCCGCTTCAACCTCCCATCGTAGAGTTCCGGTATTCATCCTTTGCGGCTCGCCATCTCATGTTCAATCCTGGGCACGCATTCGCGCTTAGTCTTCTCCTACCCGCGGTTGTATATCTCGCCCCGCTGCTCCTCAATCTCACATGCTCGTCAGCCTGCGTTGAGTCTACGCCAAACGGACCTCGGGGTACAACAACAGACGCGAGATTTCTCTCCTCCCACTCCGCCTCTTCATCACATACCGCCACCATGAGCGCCGCATCGTCGGCTTCGTCAATTCGCAGGGTGGCTCCGCTGGTCATCCCGGCCGTAGGTCGCCATACTGCCACCGTCGTCTTCATCCATGGCCTGGGCGACACTGGCCACGGCTGGGCTGATGTTGTCAAATCTTGGACACGCCAGTCGATGAATGAGATCAAGTTCATTTTGCCGCACGCGCCGCATATTCCTATTACCATGGTTAGGCATATCCTATCCGGACATCTGGACTGATGAGCCTCGGGGCGGCCAGGGACATGTTTGCTGACACTTCCGGTGGGACGTAGAATGGTGGCATGCGGATGCCAGGATGGTTCGACATTGTAAGTTGTATTTATACGATTCAAAATGAAAGGAAACGCCTTCTAACTGCGGACAACGATAGAAATCTCTCGTCAAGGGTGCAGATGAGGATGGCCCTGGCGTTCTCCAATCCCGCGAGTATCTGCATGGCCTCATTCAGCAGGAGATCAAGGACGGCATTCCTGCCGACCGCATTGTCCTCGGCGGCTTCTCTCAGGGTGGTGCCATGAGCATATTCGCCGGTCTGACAGCCCCAGTGAAGATTGGCGGCATCGTCGGTCTCTCGTCGTGGCTTCTCCTCAACCAGAAGTTCAAGGACTATGTCCCTGACGGCAACATCAACAAGGACACCCCTATTTTCATGGGCCATGGTGACCGTGACCCTCTTGTGCTCTATGAACTTGCCAAAGATAGCGAAAAGGCTCTGAACTCGATGGGTTACAGCGTCACTTTCAAGACGTACAGGTATGCATGTTCCCGGCGAGGCGAGCCCGGATTCTGAAGACAGAGATGATGTGACTAACAAATCACTCAGGGGAATGCAGCATCAAGCCTGCGCGGAAGAGCTTAGCGACATCGAGGCTTTCCTCAACAGCAGATTGCCCGCAAAAGGACATTGAGTGCAGCCTATATTACGAGTAGATACAGCGCACTGAGCCCACTAAGGACTGCTGGGCTAAACTACCTTCAAGCCAGTTTAAATTTAGATGGTTCGTAAATACAGACTTATACCGTAGACGAATGTCTCGCTGATGGCGGCTGGACCGAGATCATGGCGACCTTCTCAGCTGATGGGTCGGCTCCTCCCGAAATGTGCCGCTTATGAAAGCCGTGATATTTATAGGTGATTGAAAATGATACCATGCCAACGTCGACTTGCTAATCGGTCGGCCACTGAAGACTCTAATGCTGGGAATGGGAAAATGGGCCGTGTTTGGCCACCGTCAACTCTTGTTTGGCGCTCAGTTTTCGATGAAGCACCTCAATGCGCCGGTTTCTCTCTCCTCTTGGCTGGCTGTAATATCATGCCCTGGTTTAGCGCCATCTCCGAGAGCCACAACCCTCAATCTGATCTTATTCAGGTACGGAATAGGCCAATACATGGAAGATCTGTCCCTTGGTCCGGCAACGACACGTTTCAGCCGAAGTCAAGAGCTTGTCTCCGCACGCCTTGACCTCGGCGGCGCTCAGCTCTCTCTCCACGGGCTTACTGGAAATCATTTTGAATTCATCCACGTCTTTTATCCCCACAAACTGATGACGACTTTCGTTCCGGAGACATGTGGTTGTTCCTGTACTGGTGTTTTCCCCTTGCATCTGCTCGTAGCAGGCGGCCAATATGTTGGCTGATGACCCGTCCCCATATCGGCCAAGCCGGCCCAGTTCCGTCTTGGTATTAAGATCGTGGTAATATAGCGTTTCGGTCTACTCAACTGCTCAACGCGCATCACAGCCTTTCCACTCCTTTCACAAGTAGCACTCTCTCATACGAGATCACCACTCGTCCGTACACCGAATGATGTTGCTTTCGCCTGGCCAAGTTCTACATACCTGGGTCAACCACTTCACGACTCACCCATTTACGTTCCATGTAACGTTGTCGGCACACTTGAGCTTCGGCGTCCCCATTTTGAATAGAAGGTCGGAGTACTTCGGCAGGGGCGGCAGGAGAGAACTCCACGATGCATAGAGTGGTGGTTGCAATCACCATGGGCAGAAAATACCACCCTCCCTGACAGGATTGGGAGCTAATGACCGCGCTGGAGTCCAGCACTGCGTACACGCGACAATATGACCTTCCGGATTCTGTCCCATAGAACCCCCACAGCAAGCTGCGTGGGGAACTGAAAGAAACGCTGTCTTGTTGGAGGGGTTTAACATGTCCGCAGACTGGCGACTTGCTTATTCGGGAAGCATGCTTTACCTGATTCTTCAACTCTAGGAGTATCTCAACATGAACCCGTCCCGGGATAAATAGAGCAGAAGCTCCTATGCTACTCGCGGCTTTTATTGAGCCCAAGGTTGTACGCAAAGAAGAAGATCTGGTCATCTTCCAGGCAGTCCCTGCATATACTCCCTTTCTGGTCATATCGTCACTCCCTATCAACCCTGGTGGTTTACAACGTCTTGTCATTCTCACTCCGGAAAACAAAATGTTTGTTAGAAACGCACTAGCTGTCACTGGCCTCCTGGCTGCTCTCACTCAAGCCGCCCCTGACGAGGGGAGAGCCTCCGGACACAAGCTCACCGTCTACTGGGGTGCCGAGGATGACACCACCACCCTGGATGACGTTTGCAACGACTCTTCCTATGATGTTGTCAACTTGGCTTTTCTGAGCCACTTCTTCTCCGCCGGAGGCTACCCCAAGATGAGTATCGGCAACCTCGACGGCCCCTCGCAGGCTCAGAAGAAAGCCGGCGCCACCGGTCTTCAGGACGGTAGCTCCCTCGTCAAGTCCATCAAGAACTGCCAGAGCAAGGGCAAGCCTGTGATTCTCAGCATGGGCGGAGCCACAGATTACTCCGACGTCCAACTAAACTCGGACGCTCAGGGCCAACAGATTGCCAACACTGTCTGGAACTTATTCCTCGGCGGTACTGACCACAAGGAGCTCCGTCCGTTCGGCGACGTGAAGCTCGATGGCGTCGACCTGGGTACAACATTCCCTTCCTTCCCCCCCCCCCC